GTGTGTGTGAGAGAGAGTGTGGTCTCTCTCCCGAGAGTGGACGTCCATTGCCTGTAAATGGGCAACATTAGGTCTGTCACTTTTGGTAACCGCACCACTGTCGGTCGTCTCCCGAGAGTGGACATCCATTGCCCCTAAATAGGGTTAGGGTTAGGCATGTGTTGGTTATGGTTAAGGTTAGGATAAGTCTCTAGGAAATGCATGTAAGTCAATGTAATGTCCCCTGAAGTGGGTGTGTGTGTGTGTGTGTGTGTGTGTGTGTGTGTGTGTGTGTGTGTGTGTGTGTGTGTGTGTGTGTGTGTGTGTGTGTGTGTGGGAGTGTGTGTGAGAGAGTGTGTGTGTCTGTGTCTGAGAGACTGAGTGTGTGTGTGTGTGTGTGTGTGTGTGTGCGCGCGCGTGTGTGTTTGCGTGCATGGGTGCGTGCGTGCGTGCGTTAATGGATCGCCTCTCTCTCTTTCCTCCAGACAGAGCCTGTGGGCCTCCAGGTTGGTCAGCGTTCTGCTCAGTAACACACAGCTGGTCTCCAGCCTCCTGCACAGACTCTGGGATCTGTTCCATAACCAGGTATTGAGATCCACATTCTGATGCATTTCTTTAGGTATATTGTAAAATGTCAGCACAAGTCTAAAAAATGACTAGACCTATGTTATATCTATCAGGATACCAGGGGTTTTATGTGCTCTAATGTGAATGCTATTTGCCTCTGAGCATGTGTTAGCGTGGTGGTTGTCTGCCAGAAGCTGTAGATTTTGGTTGTTTCTAACTTTACACTTTACCGAATAGAGGATTTCATCTTAAGATATCTTGATCCTAAGTTTGAACTCAGAGAAACACGTTGAGCACATGTTAGCTGCAGCGGAAAAGCGTGAGACAAACACTGATTTTGAAAGTGAAACAGCTTTATTCACTGATTAACAATTTTACATTTTGTTTTGGGGAGAAAGTGAACCTCTGTTCTGTTCCAAGTGAAAACCACAGGCTGGGATTCCTAACTAGCAGGAGCTGACAAACCAACCTGATCCCACCCTACTTCATATCGCTATCAAACTCTTGTTATTGTTTTTAGAGATCTTTAGTGGCAGAACATGTAATATTGTGTGTTCAACTCTAGTATTTAGTATTTTAATCACTTCATCTCTGCATTCCTCTGCACCCCTCATTCAGAACATTTACTTTAACTAACCTCTTCTGTTGAAGGGCTCTTCACTGAGCGCTGCACACTTACTGGGCCTGTCAGCCTTTGTGGTCCATCTGCACGCCTCCATGTCCCACAGTCCTCTGGTGCAGCTGGTCCCGCCCCTTTTTCCTGAGCCAGTATCTGTTGGAGAAGCTCTCAGCGCAGCACTGCTCTGCAGCACACACACTGACATGCTCTTCTGTGTCAGGTGAGGTCACCTGTGCAGTTTGATGCTTACAAACATTACCTTTCTCATTAATCAATTGAAAATGGCCGCCACCCAGTGGCGGTTGTACGGGGTGGCACGGGGTGGCAGCTGCCACCTCAGAAAAATGCCTTGCCACCCCAGCTGCAACCCCAGTTGGCAGCTTTGTTTTGAAAGAAAAGTTGTGGCTCATCGCAAATTTATGAGAGAAAATCTCTAATGTCCGAGTGCAAGTGAATGCGGCACAAGACGCGAGCCTTGTAACCCCTCCCCCCCTGGCGCGAGCTGGGAAATATGATTGGCGGCGATTTCATTTGAACGGGGGGACAGCGCAAAACGAGAAGCTTTTCGGATCCAAGTAGACAGAAGGAATGAGGTATTTGCGGTCATTATATGGCTGGGGTAGGCTACAGCCATACCAAGAAATGGCTTAGCCCCACCATGGACAATGATGTTAAAGTAAGCATAATAAAGTCTGCCAACTCGCGCGGAGTAAATTGCACAGATAGCAGTTAGTACGATTGATTTCAGCAGCCACTTGTCTGGAAATACCGAAGACTAGAAACGGTTTTGAAAACTTTTGTCACGAAGTGATTGTCTTCTCCATAGAACATCTTTGATCTTTGATCTTTGTCGTAAAGCGGACAGGCGTCGTCACAACAATAGATGGGGATTGTGGGTAGTGTAGTCTCTTTGGCGCTCCACATTTCAGAGAAAACAAGTTATTTCTCAGAATTGAAGGGGAAAAACACAAAAGCATTGTACACAATTTAAACCTATCAATGTCGTTTGATTTACAAAGGTAATCTGGTGTTTGAGTTGATGAGTAGTGAAGATATCACTGTCAAATCAATCGACAGTAAGGAGAATACTTACTTCCGGGTGTACAATTCTCCGTTATCCAATAGGAATGGATGCTCACATTGCCTTTAATAGCTGCCGACATAAATGGATGCGGTTGCTTCTCTAAGCGTCAAATACCGCCGCCGATGGGAATACATTGCAATCAGTTGAAAGCTCTTTGCGTCCGTTTATGAAGCTGAAGGAGCCTCGGCGCGTCACAACTGGACGCCACGGGACCCTGACCAAGCGTCGCTCCTGGACGCTTAGGGAGTGAGAGTGTGTTGACATGGTCGCATAACTGGGAAGTTTACAGACATTCACATACCTTGTTTACCTGGCTCAAGTGGTGGCTCTGGGATTGTTGTGTGAGCCACCACTTGAGAATTGGCATCTTTTTTAAGAAAAAATGTTCTTGTGTCCATCTTCAAAAACTCTGAGTCCGACGGACAGTTTATTTTAAACATTGTCACAGCTCACAGGAAAGGTACCTGTCAGCCAATGAGACATATGTTTATTTCCATGCAACTCTCTGGTTGGTCTGGTGCCTTGCCTCTGTTGCATTCCCTGAACACGGGAAATTACAATCCTGCCGTCCTCTCTAGTGTCATGATGAGGTTCAGGTAAAGCACGGTTAATGTATTATATTATTGACTCAATAATATAATACATGACTTTGAGAGTATAGGCAATCTAGACATATTAACCAAATTAATTAAACATACTTATCACGGCGACGGTGTATTGAGATTATTATTATTTTTTTCATTTTTTTTCTTTTTTGCTAGGGGGCCCCTAGTGGCTGCGGGGCCCTAAGCGGCCGGTTTTGTCGCTTAATGGGTCGGGCCGGCTCTGCCTGGGTCAATAAAGGCTTGAAATTAAATTAAATTAAATTAAATTTGTCGCCCGAAACAGCCCGCAGGTGCCAGGAGACCTCGGCAAAACAGAGCCTGCCAGGTATATAAACAAGTATCCAACTCGCCTGTACACTGGGGTAAGGCAGTCATTTTGCAGCTCGTGGTATAAAAATAGACAATGGCATGAATATTCATGTAAAAATAATGCCATATTCTGCCATGCCTGTAGAAATGTTGGGTCAAAAATAATGCATACTACAATAGCACATACTGTATGCTTTCACCACGAATGTCTACAAAACTATCTCATATCCCAAGCTTATCAACAAGCTAATGTTGCAGCTGAAATGTTCTCCAGGTCACAAAGTCAACCTCACATGATGTGATACCAGTTTTCAAGCACAGGAAATATTCTCTTCCCAGAGTATATGGGACCAAGGTACATGGTTTTAATAATATTTTTGCCTTACAATGTTTGCCATTTCAAACCATGAGCTGGTTCAAATAATATTTGCCTTGACTTACAATATGTTCTCATTTGTTTTATCAGTAGGCTACAGTTTTGAAGCTTTTGTGCTTTTCTTTGCCATAGTCCACTTTGGACTGGATGAAATATTTCTGGATTGCACTTTTAACACACTTGAAATGTTCTCACTTGCTTGGTTTCAAAACATAAAAAAATGCCATAATCTGTTCATTGGGGACCATAACATCACTGCTATTTTTCATTGCTGTTGCCGGCCACTATTGTTCACGTAAACCTGCTGCACCCCCCTGTAAGACCGAAAATTCAAAAATAAAGTAAATATATGAAAGGGCAAAGGCTCTTTAGGGAAATCATATTCTCCTGTTATTCTATTGCAGATCCGTTTTTGCATTACTGTACATTACATTACATTACTTGTTAGACGCTTTTATCCAAAGCGATTTACTCAATACTGTGGACAATCCCCACAGGAGCAATTTGGGGTGAAGTGTCTCGGACACAACGACATGCTGACTGCAGTGGGGTTTGAACGTGCTCCCCTGATCCGAACACCAGCGCACTATTCCACTGCGCTTTCCTTTTGCATTTTTTTTCATGAACTTAAGGGCATTTGTAGAGCACAATAATGAACTCGTGAAATATAAACATTTTCAAATAAATGAAGTTTGTTATCAAACCATAGCACGCCTGTCAGGCTACATACACGAGCCACAGGAGGTTACTAACTGTTACACCCCCCGCCCTCCCTCCTCTCTGTAATTGGTCAGAGCCCCACAAGTGATCCAACATGAGCCTCGCTCCGCTGTAGTCGCCTCGCCGCTCAGCTCTCCGCAGCCCGCCGCTGAGCCCTCCGCCGCCCGCCGCTCAGTGCTCCGCAGCCCGCCGCCGCTCCACAGGACTACCGTGTCCAGAGCGGGGAAATGTGCACGGTTCTTCCAGTGGGCGTCGCCTGATACCGTGCTGAAGTGTGCACTGATTTTTTCTTCCTGCAGCTGGTGTGAGATGTTCTGCATTTGCAATGGCAAGAGGTCTGTTTCCATGGGGGATCTTCACCAAGCCTCTGTACATCCAGGTAGGCTTCAGGAAATCCCACTCTGTGACACATCTGTTTACACGCGCGTTACCGGAAGCGACTGATCACTGTTATGCTCTATTCTGATTATCATTTGACCTTCATGCTGCATGTGGATTGCTGGTAATGTGCAGCCATCACTGTAGGTTTTTGTGACTGAATCAGAAAGTCACTTGATGCTCGACAGGAATCAGCCATCCTCTAATCCCGTTGCTGTAGCAACCAGGTCCATGATGCATCCAAGCCTTGTCTTCATAGAGGATGTTTGAGAGGTTGAACAACTTTATTATCACCTTAACTGTTCAATGTGAGAGAACAAGAAACAGCATGCACTTGGAACAAACAAATATGAGCATATTTAATCCTGTAGAGACACAGCACTGAATCTCATCAAGCAGATGCTGAACATTATGTAACAGTTTGATGTGACACACGGGGTCTCAGGATCCAACATTTACACTCCACACAGACAGAGGATTATTACAAAGTCAACTTGGACCTCAATCTTTTTGAGACATAGGAGACTCCGAATGGGTTGGAAGTCACATCATCCCCCAAATTCTTACATGTGATGAAAGTAGGCTATAGTATTATTTTTATAATTATAAAATTGGAAAACATTTATCTTTTGTTGCTGGGTAAACCTGATATCCGATCTGTTTGGTGTAAGTAAATACAATATATTTATCAATTAAAGACTGCCTCTATTAACACATTTTTCTTAGTTTGAGTTCCTTTTTGGGGTCTCCTAACACGTTTTCATGTAATCACTTCCTGTATATCATTTATTTTGTATACTTTAGTTGTTATTTTACTTTTGAGGCCGTGAGACTTTGGAGGTACACTGGATGGAAAGAGTGATTGAGTGATAGAAAATAGAAAATGATGTGTACATTGTATGATTTAGCTCTTTGTGATTTTGAGAAAACATAATATATTGAAAACCAACTTGAATACATGTATGTCATATTGTCAAAGCCATACATATTCATAACTCTTTACTTTTAGCTTAGGCTCACTTATAGCCTACTTCTTCTTATTTAAAGAGGCCCTTATTAGGCTTTTTGGGGTTTCCTTTTCCTGTTGTGTGTTATACAGGTTTGTGTGCATGGGGTCTGCAAAGGCTAGCATCCCTGGCAGGAAATCCCAACGCACCATTGGACTCCTTTGTTTACTTCTGTAACATAGTGACATCACTATGTAACATACGCTTGGCTAAGGGGCGGGACATAAGCGGCTGACCAATCACAACAGAGCCGGCCAGCTAACCAATCACAGCAGACTGGGCTCTGGTTTCAGACAGAGGGTGAAAAGAGGCGCTGCAGCACAGGCAGTATGAGAACAATAAAGAGCTTTTTGAACATTAAAGCATGGAGACATGTCACAGGAGAGACACTACATACTAATATGATATTGAAAATGAGCAGGATATGTCTTCTTTAATACATTCCTGTATTTTATTCTATTCATTTTTCATATACTCCTTGGTAAAGGGACAGTTGGTGTTTTAGAATGTGCTATGTTTCAGGAACTTGTAGGTTATAAGTGTATGGGGTAAGGACTACTTTGGAGAAAAGATTGCTCTGTGTATGATTTTGAGCTTTGTGTTTTTAACAACTAACATATCATCCACTGATTTATGCATTCACACATTTATCGTCTGGACATTCGGCCCCACAGTCATTTGTGTCCCTCATTTCGCTCCAACAATGTCTGATCTCTCTGCTGCCGTGTGCTTCCTGC